AATATATAGGTATACCTGTCCACAACTGCAAGGTATCTGGTATACTCCTGCAGTGGTAAGGGGATCCCTTTTGTCCTTTGCTGACCGTAACATTTGTTGCATTTTTGTGGTGGGTCTGAATACTGTTTGTAGGTTATGTTTTCTCAAAAGTTTTTCTATGCAGTCTGTGACCCCTTTGATGTATGACAGAAATACTTTATTTGTGGGTGGCTGTTTTTCTCTTCAGTTTGGTGTTTTTTCTTGATTTGATGGCTCTTTTGATTTCATTTTTGGAATAGCCATTCACCTGTAGGGCCCAGTTCAGATGGTTGAGTTAGGTGCTGAGAAATTGAGCTTCGCAGTTCCGATTTGCATGGTCTACCAGTGTTCTGAATATGCCTCTTTTCTGTCATGGGTGGTGTTTGGAGTTTGTGTGAGTGAGTTTTCTGTAGACCTTGTGTCCCAATAGGTGGTCAATTTTGCATATGACCATGACATCTAAGAAAGGGAGTTGGCCGTCTGTTTCGTTTTCCATTGTGAATTGTATATTTGGGTGGATACTGTTAAAATGGTTTAGAAATTCTTCCAGTTTTTTTTCACTGTTTCCAAATTGTGAGGGAATCATCCACGTATTGTGATAGATTCTTGATGTTTCTTGATTCCCCCCTCCAGGTTCCTCCCCCACCCCCCTTTATGCACTCCCTCCACTATCGTTCCATGGTTCTGTCAGAGCCTGGCTTGGGGTTGTCCCAGTTCATTGTCACGACACACTTGGATGTTCGGGTCTTTGCTTCCTATGACAGTGAGTGGAAGAATGGGGAGCCTCAGGAGTCCTGGATGGAGGAGATGATCCAGGTGGACACCGAGGACTGGGACCGGCTCAACCAAAATGCTAGAAATGCCAAGCACCACCATGAAGTGGCAGATCCGGACCGTGATGGGTCGCTACCACCACAGCGGAGGTGCGCAAGAGGGAAGGGACAAGGAAGAAGGCCAGTTGAGGGCTGAGGGGGTGTCCATTGTACACCAGAAGGTGAAGCAGAATGATGCTGGAAGATGAGCCCCTCAGGTCGGAAGGCGTCCAACATGCTACTGAGGAAGAGCAGAAGACAAGTAACTCCACCACAGGGCTCTCCTTTGGCTCTGATGACCCTGTGAAAGAGCGCTCTCTAAATCGCCCAGTCCTCAATGGTCCTGCTGAGCTCATGCATCAACTCCAGGCTGGGGCTTCTTTTAGGGAGTCGGTCCATCTTGTATTGGGTCCTCCTCATCTCCTGCTGCCTTTCCTCCTTTCCCAGGCTGAGGGTCTTTCCCTGCTCTCTCACGATGAGCCCCAGAGGAGTTTTTGGTGCCTGGGGTTCTAAAGAGCATTCAGACTCGAATTGTGTCACAGCAGAGCCATCTACAAAAGGACCGGATCAAGATGCCATTATGGGAATATTCGGCCCCCAGGGACTACAAATCGCCCTGCCCCCGCCACCTTGGTAATTCTGCCCGGAGGCCCAGAACTGTGGCTGATGGTGTGTTGTGTACATCTGGTTGAGTTGTGAAGTAAGTCTGTGTTGTGGAGAGTGTGCGAGAGCCAAGGGACTCTCCTCCTTTGTCCGTGGGCTGCACAGGCTTCCTCTCCTCCAGGGTGACTGACCGATGCAAAACACACACACACACACAGAAAGGCAAAAGGCTAAATGGAATAAGGCAGGTTCTGTGTGCACAACGGGAATCAAGTCATCAGCAAATGAATGATAATGAAGGGCTTCCTTTTGTGATTTCAGGGCACACGTCCCTTGGTCGTACTACTTGTCTGCACCCCGAAATGGCACCAGGAAGGCTTGAATCAGTGGCAGATTGCCCCTGATGATGGCGTCTCTCCTGCTGGAGCCACACAACAGGATTTTGACCAATGGCCGGTGCCCCCTCTGGCTCTACAACAGGGTGGAAGAAAATCAGAGGTGTGTAAATGGTCCCCCCCCCCGGCAGCATGTTTAACATACCAATATCAAATTAAATTACCCTAAGAAGCGTTTAAAATGAGCCAAGGATCTTATGCATTTACAAAGAGCCAAGGAAGGGCTCCCATAGATCGACCAAGCTATCCCCAGGGAGGGGCTTTCTGTCTGATCTTCCTTCAAAACAGGCAAATTGTCACAGATTCTTCCATTCGCAGAAGGGTGGGAAGATCCGCCTCTCTGGGACCTTGAGCTCAGCTCCTTTCCATCCTCAGAGGACTGGGTGTGTGTGTCCCTCCCCAGATTCCAAGAAGGCCAGGGGATCCCCCAAAAAGCCCTGCACCTTCTAGGTGGGGAGGGGTCTCTGTTCCTCCATCTTTCCTCCCCGTGGGGAGAGTCGCCCCCTCCCTCCCACTTGCTATATCTTCAGTCCCCCCCTTCATTTCTCTTTCCAAGGGGAGGGAAAACACAGTCTGGATCAGATCTTTTCCCTCCAATTGGAGAGGGGTGAATGCTTTTCCTAATTCATCTGTCCCCCCTTTCCCTGAGACCCCCACCCTCCCTCCTCCTTCCCAGTTTAGGGGAGAATCCAAGGTGGGGAGAAAGAGATAAAAAAGCCAGGACTTCCTTTCACCTCTGCCTTGAGGAGTCAATGGAGAGGGCAGTGGAGGGAGCAGGAGGGGGGAGACTCATCCCTGGGAGGATCTTGGTGAGTCCCTGGTGGAGGGCAGGGTTTCACTTCACTAGGGCTTATTTTCAGGGTAGGGCTTACTTTCGAGGAAACACAGTAGCGGTTTCACTTGAGCAGTGGGTTTCCCCTTTATAGGAGATCTTGGATGACTAAAAAGATGACTCTTTTTAATAAAGGTCCTCCTACATTCCATGCATTTCCATGGCTTCTCCATGTCTTTGATAGCTATGAATCATTAGGACACATGACTCCACAGGAATCCTACAGAAATTTACATACCTCCCAGGCAAGGAGATTCTATGATTCATCAGTGCTGATACAATTGCAGAAAAAGGGTGATTTCCACAATGAATCTAGACTGGGGGGGTTCGGTATTCTCAGATGTCTGGAGATGTGCAAATTCCCTTCTGGGTTCCAAAAAGGACAACTGACCCACCAGGGTCTGGCCAAAAGCCGTATCTGAGGGGTTGGTCCATCTCCCCCTTTATCTCTTTGGCTAGCATGCCTCTTTCCTCCCTGATCTTTCTGCTCCACTCTCTTCTCTTTCTCTCCCCAATTGAAGGGGTTCTCAGGTCTTATTTCTGCCTCTTCATGAGGGATCATCAATTTCTCCCCCTGTTTGGTCCAGGGGTCCTCCATTCATATTCTCTTCCAGCCTTGAAATATCCTCTCCTTCTTTTGCCCTCCTGCCTCTCCAGCTTCCGCTGTCCCCTCTATATTTATCCTCCCGATATATTTCTCTTCCCTCTTCCTGTCTTATTCCTTTCTTTTTTTTCTCCTTC